CTGCGGCACGTCTTCACGCTGCGGGAAACCAGATCGTCCCACGTCAGAGGGGCCAGATGGTGGGTGACCCACTCGACTCCAGCAGAACCACACGGAACCGCTCGTTCTTCCTTTCATGAATAAAGTTCTTCTTCTCTCCTGTGATAATGCTGCTCCGTGGCGCTACGAGCGATTAAAAGAGGGGTTTTTTTAACGTTAATAAACCTTTTTAAAAGATAAAGTAAACCTCAGGAACATGCTTCACGTCTCCTCGGCCGGGTTCCACCTGAGTTCGCCCCCCCCCCCGTGTGATAATGTGAAAATGTTTTCGCTCGTCCCTCCCGTCAGGTGGAACCCGAGTCCAACGAGCTGGTGGACGGGTCCCTCGTCGACCTGTGCGGGGCCACGCTGCTGTGGCGCACGGCCGAGGGCCTGGCGCGCACGCCCACCGTCAAGCACCTGGAGGCGCTGCGGCAGGAGCTGAACGCCGGGCGGCCGCAGTGCCCCGTGGGCCTCAACACGCTGGCCTTCCCCAGCATGCGGCGCAAGGACGTGGTGGACGAGAGGCAGCCCTGGGCCTACCTGCGCTGCGGCCACGTGCACGGCTACCACGGCTGGGGGGGCCGCCGCGACCCCGAGGTGGAGGCGGCGTGCCCGGAGAGGGAGTGCCCGATGTGCCGGACGCGGGGCCCCTACAAGCCGCTGTGGCTGGGCTGCGAGACGGGCTTCTACGTGGACGCCGAGCCGCCGACGCACGCCTTCGCGCCCTGCGGCCACGTCTGCTCGGAGAAGACGACGGCGTACTGGAGTCAGATCCCGCTGCCGCACGGCACGCACGCCTTCCACGCCGCCTGCCCGTTCTGCATCGAGCCGCTGGGCGCCGAGTCCGGCTGCATCCGACTCATCTTCCAGAGCCCGCTGGACTAAAGCCGCTCGGACCTTCTCAGGCTTTAAAGCCACAGAGGGGACAGAACTCTGTCCTCCGGGGGTTTTCCCCATAACTTTATTTTTTTTTAACTTAATTTTGACCAATATAAATTAATTGTGTTGCCCTTTTTGGGGAAATCAGAAATGCGTCATGCAGCGTTATCCTCTTGAGTTTTTTCCCTGGACATTCTTGTTTTATTTATTCCTTTTTACCTCTTTTATAAATCAATGTGGAATTCAACAGCTGATTTCTGTCTCACCTTTCCTTAAAGATCCATTAACACTGAGACATGATCGCCAGTTTGGTGTAAGTCGAGTGTCTCACCGTGATCCACTTCCTGTTTCTAAATGCAGATACGTGATTCATAACTTATTTCTGTATTTAATCCTTTTCACCCAAATCAAGTGACCTTTCTCGTTAACGCTGTTCGTTGAATTTGCAGTAACTGTTTTCATCATGACTTTACCAAAATATATCCTTTGTGAAACATTTTAGGCTGCTGTCCTGTACTTCAACCACACACATCAATTTCAATCACACACATTTTGAAGTTATACTTGCAGAAATGCATTTACATAAACACAAGAATATTGTTTCTAAATTGTTTGCTCTACTTAAGCCGATAAATACATCACGGTAAAAGCTAAAGATATTGTTCATTGGTTCTTATGGCTTTTACAATCTTTCAAAGACAATGTCATGGAAAACAAAAGTCAAAAGATATTAAATGAAATAATGTTTTTGAAAAAAACGTCCAAATACGTTTTAGCCCAAAAACAATGGGTATCTTAGTATGTTAGGTCAAAAAAATTAAAGTATTAAGTCAAAAAATGTTTCGAACAAATATGTTTGGTCGAAAATTGTCATGGAAAAAAAGTTTAAGAAAATTAGCTCAAAGACATTTTTGAAAGAAAATGCAAACAATCTTGGCTAGAAAAATGTTTTGAAAAACTACTTTTGAAAAAAAATCAAAATATGTTAATTAGGGGAAAAAAAAGTTTTAATCAGTTCACATGCTGGATGCTTCTGATCAAAAACCCACAGGAAAGTCATCAATCCGCCGATACAGGAGGAAAAATGGCAGCCGGCCGCCAGGTGGCAGCAGCGAGCTTTACACAAAGAGAAGAAGAGACGTCGGCTGCCCCGCCTCCTGCGGTGCATGATGGTCGATGTCCTGTTGGTATCTGCCGTTCGTGCTGTTTTCCTCCCGGTTCCTCCGGTGGTCCTGTGATGGTGGAGAGGAGAAGAGCCGGCCGCTGTGCTTCACACAACAGGTACGGAGCGGCGGAAACCCCGCCGTCACCGAACTTCTCCCGGTTCGCCTCTCGTCTCCCTCCGCCTGTCAGCGCGATAGCTCCGGCTTGTCAGCTAGCATGCTAGCATTAGCTGGTCTACGTGTACCCGCTGCTGGACTCCCTGACAACATTAGCTTTAGCATTAGCTTCACTCCACGGGCATTCCTAGTCTTAACAACGCTGTCACCGAAAGGAACGTTGTGTTATGTGCGCCTTGTGTCACCGCGTGGTGTTGACGTCGCTGTCAACCCGGTGGATTAAACGCTAATCGCCACAGCGTTGAATGAGCGGGCGCTAAGCTAAAGCTAGCCGGCTAGCTTCTGTCACAGCTGTCTGTCCTGCTGAAAGGGAGCAGAGGTGGAAAGTAACTGAGCATAATAAGTCACGTGCTTTACTTAAATAGACATTTTGGGTACTTTTACGAAGCTACCATGTAGTATGTAACGTAAAGGTCTTTAAGGCATCTACAGCTGTATAATGCAACATGCATTGTATTTAGCAGGGATGTTAACCGAGAATCATTTTATTGCACAACCTGTAAATATCTTAAACTACTTTTTTGATGCGGAACTATTACTCAAGGCAAGGTATCTCTTTTACAGTATGGTATCAGTACTTCCTCGAATCCTTCCTAATTCCTCGATAAAGCAATCTAAATTCTTATTTCACCTTTTTGGAATCAGTGATTTAATATTTCAAACATATTGAAGTATTATTTATTCATTGATAATTTCCAATTCACTGTGAAATGTATGTGGTAGATTCACCGCACCTGACGCTAAACAGTATTTTAAACCCTGAACTTTGCTATGGTGAGTTTATCCTTAAAATAATGAGTTGGATTAATGATAAATTCTCGATTTATTCAATGCATTTGTTAATCGATGCTTAGATTTAGAGAACCATTATTTATTACCAAATAAGATAAGAGCTTTTTGAAATCTTCCAACCCAGTTTTAGTCGTGTGAGATTTACCACGCCTGTGAAATCGGTGGTAACGATGTATCTGCTCACCTTAAGCGTTCTTTTTTTTTGATGGAGCCATTTAACCTTTAGCTCAACGGAAACACCGTAAACACCCACTAAATACTGCTTGTTTTTTCTATTAAAAACCGCACTGATCCAAATTGCCTATTCAACAGGAAATATCAATCATGTAGTCTGAGAGTCCTACTCTCATTTCAATGTGCAACACCGATTTAAAACATCCAATTATTTCTGTTTTTACCTCTCGGACGTCTCTGCTCGTAGGTAAAGGTTTTACACACTTTGAAACGTTGGTGCCGTCGTTGGAGATGTGAGGGTCTCTCATCGGGGGGACGGGATTAGCGCAGAGGGTTTTACACCTCCGCGGTCCGAGCCGTAAACACGCGGCTCTCTGCTTCGCATCCTTGCGCCGCTGCCGAAGTCGTCCCGTCTTCCTCCGTGTCAGCGGCGTTTTCTAAAAGGCCGATGAGGTGAACGCTGCCGTCCACCGATGACCGTCACAGACAGCGCCGCGAGTTTTAGCTCTTTAATGACTTAATCTGACCATTGTTTACAGATGTATTGGCATCTGTAAAGTCGGCGAATTGTCTAAACAGAAAAGAAATGTCTACATTTCTGGTAATTACAACTTCATATGTCAGATTCCGTTTACGGTGTAAAAAAACCCCAAAACTTTAAAATCGTCCGGATAGACAAAGTAGTTACACACAAACAGATTTGCTGTTTTTGGAGGTCAAAAACAGCCTCAGGGTGCAACAGGTATAATGTTTGCAAACACAACTGACACACACACACACACACACACACACACAAGTCACGCGTCAAGGTCACGCATCAAGGTCAAGGTCACTCAAAGGTGTTCTTCTTTGCAGCGGGAATGTTTAGAAAGAAGACAAACTGTGCTGCTGGTAATCGACCTCGGATGCAGATGATCATCTTTAGGCACCACGAGATTCTAAACACCAACGCACACAACTTGCTATCGTTTGACCCGGAACACGCCGCGCCTCTGTGAGCGAGTCGTCTAAGAAATACTGACTGAAGGTGCAACGTTATTCACATTAAAGAAAGAAGCCAACAAGTAATAACAATCTTGAGAATTTGGAACCAAAACTCCCTAAAATGCTTTAGAGTTTTTGTACTGATTGAAAATTCTTTGAGACAGTAATAATTTATGTTCACAATAGCGCGAGTGACTTTGTGTGAAACTGATGCCTCAGAGCCTCTGGATTTCCCCTCATGCTTTCTGTTACGCTCTCGTCAGCAGCGTTTTCTGATGAACTCATGATTCTCTTCAACAAACGCGCAGTCAGTGTCAAGTGGAGAAAGAGTCCGATTTTTCTCTCAGGTGTTTGAGAGCTAAAAGCCGTAGAATATTGGACTTGTCACATGGACACAAACTATTATTATAATAATAATAATAATAATCCTTTCTGCGTCTGAGGTTGAATTTACGGTTCAACAAACAATTCAAAGATTGTGCACATTGTTTAATTCGGTACTTCACCGTCTGTTTGCAGCTAGCCTCCTGGGCGGCGAGTCCCGATGCCATGGCCTCCAGCCACGGCTCCTCCCCAGTCCCTCGTGGAGGCCGAGGTGGGATCTATCGCAAGGAGCGGGACGCCCCGCCGGCCCGATGCCGGTCCGTCCGCTCGCTGCCCGACGTCTGCCCGAAGGAGCCCACCGGTGGGAACGCCCGGCCGTCCTCCATGTTTTGGAGTTCCATACCTTTGTGTCGCCTGACTACTGTGTTACGGTACGAGCGTGACCCTATGTTGAATGTTCTGCAGGTGGGGGGCGGGGCCTGTGCGACGGCCCGTCCGTGGTGGCGGAGCACGACAGGTGGACGGTGTACAGCTCGAAGGTCAACCTCCCCGCCGCGCTCAACGACCCGCGGCTCGCCAAGCGGGAGTCCGACTTCTTCACCAAAACGTGGGGGCTGGACTTCGCAGAGACGGAAGTGATGCCCTCCTTCTACCTCCCCAACATCACCAGGGAACACTTCGGACCTTACCTGCAGGAGACGGCTCAGGTAACACTGAATTGTTCGGGGTTGGGGGGGGGCAGGCAGAAAATGCCGCCGGTGGTCATGTGACCGGTTGTGCGAAGCTCATTTGTGGCTGAAAGAATGTCTTGTTTTCCAAGTGGCCTGCAGGTTCACTGCAGGAAACTGAATGCAAATGTTCTTCTGAGGGAATTCAGATGGAGAGCTTTTTTTTATCTTAATAAAAGGCTGCAGTGACTTCCACGGCTCCATGAAGGAATATATATATTATTTATAAATGATCAAATGATGGCCTTTTATACAACCGTGTATACAACCGGTGTGACCCGGGTCTTACCGTACCATATCTAACCCCGGCTCACCTAACCCCGGCTTACCGGCACCATACCTTAGCTTACGGGTGTGTCGGGAATGCTGTTGAAGCAGTTTTCTTCCCTTCCCTTTCTTTTGTTTCCGGCTCAGTTTTCCAGATAAATCTGTTGTGTTTTTTTATCTTTAGTTTTATAACACAGCTGGCTGGAAACACCTGTACCGGTTTGAGTGTCCTTTTCTTCATGCGTAGCTGTTTAATATCAGATCAAAGACCATGTGACTGCTGCTCATCTCTGATCAAACCGCCTTGTTTCCCCTAAACGAGCCCTCGATGATTGATGTGATGTGGTTGTTGTCGAGCTTTAGTGGTGCTCAACAGATGGAGGGTTTAGTCTTTCATTTATTTCCTTGTTTAATGCTGAGTGTCCCGATAAGGAGTTCCGTCTTGCTGTCTTACTCTTTCCATGTACCTGCTCAAACAGCCGTATTTCTTTTAAAGTCGCTTGGCTTTAAGTTAATTTCCTTGCAGCTGTCAAAGGAAAAATACGTTTTTAAAATGGTGATTAAACTCACCAGAAAAGCAGTGTGTGGTTTCACTTTGAGGCGTTTAGACTCCTTTCGGTTCCCGTCTGAGCGTCCGGTTACCACAAATGTCTGTGACGCCTTCATCGCTTCCTCCTCCGGGTTTCAGATGTCTTATAATAAATCTTTATTTATTAGCTCGTTATTGCTTCCTTATTCCGGCTGCTTTCTGCTCTCATTGTTCTCCTCTGACAGGAAGTTTGGCCTTCGGCGGCATTCATGTGTTTCGTGATTTAAACCCCCGCCGCCCGGACATGACGTGACATCTCACACACGAGGAGGCCTCGTAGATTCTCAGTTTTCTTTCCGTGTTTTTCTACTTTTAGAAGGAAAGAATCCACGAACGCTGCAAGACAATCTGTCCCAACAAAGACGATGTGGACGCCGCCTCCAGCGTCGACGCCAGCCACGGTATGAATGATGAACGGGAAGTAGAATGCGGCGGCCTTCTGATGGACGCGCAGGAGTAATGTGACCGTGTCCTCTTCCTTCTCATCGATCAAAGAATGTAAAACAAGCTGACTAATTAAATCCCAAATGTCTGTTTCTCCTTTGTAGAGAAATCCAGAGCGGAGCTGGAACAAGTGCCGAAGGTAACACTTACTAACTCGACTCCTACTTGATAAAACTAATCCCAATAATTGATTGCAACAGTAACAGATGTTTTGATGCAGTTTTTCTTTTGTTTATTGTGGAGAGAATAATTAATTCATATAAACTCAAATATCAAAATCTGAACCTGCATCAAAACAAAAGTTATTGCACCTGATGTATTGTTGTAATCCTGTAAATGGCGTTTGGGTGATTGGTTTTATATTCCCGCTGTCGTGTTCGAAACAGTCCGATCCAGATGTTTGAGCTGGAGCTGGACTCGCGTCGGTAGAAGCATCTGCTGCCTCACGACGTTTCTGTGCTTTTGGTTTGCAGATGTTCATGAGGCCTGAATTCGCTCTGGAGGACTCGGCCACCTTCAACAGCGTGCTGCCCTGGTCGCACTTCAACAGCGCCGGAGGGAAGAGCAGCAGAGACGTGGCCTCCTCCAAGCTGCTGCAGGAGAAGGTGACCTCCCTCGTCCTCAGCCACCCCCCCTCCACCCCGAGTGTAACCTCACCTCGAGCTCCTGGTCTCTCTCCTCCAGCTGAGTCACTACCTGGACGTGGTGGAGGTGAGCATCGCCCGGCAGATCTCGCTGCGCTCCGAGGCCTTCTTCCACGCCATGTCGTCGCAGCACGAGCTGCAGGACCGCCTGCAGGAGACGCAGCGGGCCGTGGCCGTGCTGCGGGGCCGCACCGCCGCCATCGATCGCATCATGTGCCGGGGGCCCCTGCAGGCGCTCCGCACCGCCCTGACGCGCAACAACTGCGCCAGGCTGCACAACAAGCTGAAGCTGATGGCGGCGGTGCACCAGACGCAGCCCACCGTGCAGCTGCTGCTCTCCACCTCAGAGTTCGTCGGAGCGCTGGAGCTCATCTCCACCACCAAGGAGGTGCTGCAGCAGGAGCTGCAGGGGATCCACAGCTTCAGGTGAGGGGTGGGGGGCAGCAAAGGTTGGGTTTAGTTCCGGACTGGAGTGCATCCTCGTGGGAGAAGTTGATGTAATTCTTAACCTGTGAATGAGCAGATGACGCAGACACATTCTGGTTATCAGTGTGGCCTTTTGATCAGAGAGTCTTTTATTTTGAAAAGGCCTCCCTTGAAGAGTCATCCGTTTTTAACAGATTTGAACTCTGAGCTGTTGTCACGTGAAACCAGCTTCCACCAAATCGCTTGCCTCTGTCCGTCCACAGACATCTGGGCTCCCAGCTGTGCGAGCTGGAGAAGCTGATCGATAAGATGATGGTGGAGGATTTCAGCATGTACGCCCGCAGCAACCTGAACCGCAGCCTGAGGGACGAGCCGCTGGTCCTGGAGAAGGTCTGAACTCCTCCTCCTCCTCCTAAGCCTTCATCCAGTCCTCTTGTCCACTGTTCAGCCCAATCAAAGAAGAGATTAATGAATGGGAAGCTGGTCCTACATGTACCAATACATTTAAAGACAGAGTAACATAGACAAAAAACAATGGTGAGACATCCAATAATATGTGGAGGGATTTTTGATGGATGTGAAGGAGGCGTTTGAATCTTCTTCGATTTGTTTCAACGTGTTCGTTGGCTCTTTTTTTTTAAAGAGAAACATGTTTCTTTGATGTCGATGGCAAACTTTTACCTTGTAAAACACAAGAGTTAATTTACTCTCAGAGACACATGAAGGGTGAGATCATGTGACCTGCAATGCGTTTAACAGACAATGTGCTCATCACAGGTCCACAGACCTAACGCTGACTCCCAGAAGGTGGGACACACACACACACACACACACTCAAATCATCATCAGAGTGTTTGTTTTGACGTGCCTGGAGTGCCTGACGGGTGGAGTTAACTGCGTCCGGTGATTCAGATGCGGTCAAGCAGGTTTATCCGAAGTAAAACGTGTGTACGTGTGTTTTATATCCCTCTGGTCTCCAGGCAGGTCGAATGAGCACTGACTACTTCTTAAATGTGTCCTTTGAGTGCTGCATGTTTACCAATGTACCAAATGTTGATTCAAATCTGTCGCCAATCAAATCATTCAGAGCAGAATGGAGGTTTTCCTACAAAATTTAAGATTAAAGCAAATACTATTTGAAAAATTATTTTTAAACTATAAAATTGAAGAAATTAATTTAATAATCCACAAAAACTTTCTTCTGCACGATTTCATTACTTTAATTAAGTTTAGTCAGCGTAAACGTAATTTACTTTTTTTAAATTTCATTATTATGTCTCATGGATAAACCCATTTTAAATAATCATGACCTTAAAAAAGATCCGTTTTCATTTTTGATCTTACCATCTTATTTTGTGTAAATGTGTATTTTGGATGAAATGGTTGATTTGCAAAATCTCTGGGTTTTGCTGCTTGAAAATCTTAATTTATATCAAACTGAATCACATTTCCTGCCGAATTAAATGCTGCATTTTGTCTAGTTTGGTCTTAACGCATCAGGCCTTTCGTTGAGTTTTTATTTGAATATTGCACGTGTGTGTTTGTGTGCGTTTAGGAGCGTCTGGAGTCCCTGGTGTTCGGCCTGCTGCGCCAGAGGAAGCTGGACTTTCTGGATATTTACAGCGATGAGATGATCTTTGCTGCTAAGGCCATCGTCTCGCAGGTAACGAGCACATTTTTCTTTTCTTTTTTTCACTACTTGGAAAGAACTCTGTTAATATAAGCTGCTCGTGGGTCTTTTCAGTGTGTAGCAGAAAACGTTTTGAACATAGAAGATATCGACACTGAAGTCGTCACTAAGTAGGTGGAGCCCTGAACGTTCATAAAGAAACGCGCCCGTCTATTGTTTATCAATAATAAGCAGATTATCCTGCCTGAACAGGATGTGGTTAACCGAGTGTGTGTGTGTCTGTGTGTGTGTGTGTGTGTGTGTGTGTGTGTAGGCTAGCTGACCAGATGCGTCTGATGACGTTCCCTCAGTTGTTTGAGCTGCTGAAGAACATCTTTGCGAGTTTCCTTCTCTTCCTGCAGAGGATCAAGGTCGGTCAGATGTCCTCAGGCGCGTTCGGCCGTCTTTTTGAACCGACGTGAAAACACTGAACGCGTCTCTCCCCTCAGGCCACCTTCGGGCGTGATTCCAAGGCGTGGTCCTAGAGGTCCTTGTCCCTTCCAACCAGAGACTGCGACTCCTCGAGAGGGAGGCCCGGCTCGGGGTCCGCGGCCCAGAAGGCGGCTCCCCACGGGCCCGTCGCTCCCGCAGGGGGAGGCCGAGCTGGCCTACCTCACCCACGAGGGGCTGTTCATCAGCGACGCGCTGAACGAGGCCCGGCAGCAGGCGGCCCGGGAGCAGAGCCCCCCCGAGCAGAGTCGGGCGGAGGCGGCCGGCGGCGGCGGCGGCAGCGACTCGGCGGTGACCTCCGTCAGCAGGGAGCAGAGCCTCATGTACGTCGCCATGCAAGCGCGGACCCCAAACGGGGGTCAAAGTGCAGCGATGTGTTGTGATGCGTCACATTTAAAACGGGACGGCGGGTGTTAACGGCTCCCCGTGAACGTGTTCAGGTCCGGCGAGACGGCGATGCCCACCGACCTGGAGCTCAACCGCGTGACCGGCAACCTCCAGGAGCTGCTGCACACGGCCTGCGACGTCAGCCACGACCGCTGCGTCAAAGTCCTCACGGCCAGAGCCAAGGTACGCGCGGGGTGCAAGCGGGGAGGACGCCACGGAGGCCCCCACCCCCCCCCGACACAACACTGAGACGCGTTGCTCGTTGTCCCCCCGCAGGACGGCTCCCTGGAGCGCCTCAGCTCGGCCGAGTTCGTGTCGCTCTCTCGGGCCGTGGAGGCCTTCGTCGGGGACACGGAGGAGCTGTGCAGCAGGCGCAGCGTCTCCCTGCGGGGGGCGCTGCAGAGCCAGGCCAACCGCTTCGTGCACCGCTTCCACGACGAGCGCAAGACCAAACTCAGGTGAGCCGCCGACCCCGACGCCGACCCCTAATGTGTGCAACGTGTGCGGAGGTCGAGGAGCAGCGGTTCTGACGTCTGTGGCCGTTTCACAGCCTCCTCATGGACAACGAGCGCTGGAAGCAGGCCGACGTCCCCGCCGAGTTTCAGGACCTGGTGAACTCCATCGCGGGCGGAAGGATAGCGCTGCCGGAGCGCAAAGTCCCAGGTTCCTATCACGGATTGTCTTACTTCCTTCAGGAGAAATCCGGCAGAGACGCGATAAGAAAAGTTACTGGAAAAAACACTTTATTGTGAAACGCCTATTCGCATACTTGGAACAACAAGTCTCCTAAAACTAAAATAAATTAAAAAAAAAAAATACTCCAAGAGGTTATTTAGCCAAATGTTTCGCAGAAGAATGAGGGTAGATTCGTTTCGACTGAACAAACGAGTGAGATCAACTTCGATTGAACCCGTGTGCGTGTGATGACTTGTTGTGTTTCCGTGTGCAGGTCAGGAGGACCGGAAGCCCGCCGACTTCCTGCTCGTCAACGGGCAGAAGTACGCCGTGGTCGGGTACGTGGCCCGTCTGGCGCCGTCCGCTCAGCTCACGCGGTCCGCGAGACGTGTTGTGACCGTCGTCTTCGTGTGTCTCTCTCTCTCTCTCTCCAGGACGGTTCTGCTGCTGATCCGGATCTTTCTGGAATACTGTCAGTGCGTCAACGACATCCCGTCCATCGCCACCGACATGCTGACCCGCCTGTCGGACCTCCTCAAGGTCGGAAACCGCCTCCAGCACTCGCACCGCGTCCGCGTTTCAGAGCCTCGCGCGCCCTGCGGGACGATTGGTCCGACCGGCTGTCAATCAAGCCCTGGTCCCTACGAGCAGAACCAATTACATGATGCATTCATGCCGTCTCTTTGTGAGGAGGTTATTGAGCAGCGAGGCCTCTGCGTGGTTTTTAAAAGTTCTTCTTCTTCTTTGGTTTCCTGCAGCACTTCAACTCCCGGACTTGTCAGCTGGTTCTGGGAGCCGGCGCGCTGCAGGTCGTCGGCCTGAAGACCATCACCACCAAGAACCTGGGTAGGACCGCCCCCGCCCGCTACGCTCACAGCTTCAGTCCGCTGCGAAACGGACCCGCTAACCCAGAGTGTGTGTGTGTGTGTGTGTGTGTGTGTGTGTGTGTGTGTGTGTGTGTGTGTGTGTGTGTGTGTGTGTGTGTGTGTGTGTGTGTGTGTGTGTGTGTGTGTGTGTGTGTGTGTGTGTGTGTGTGTGCAGCGTTAGCTTCCCGCTGCCTGCAGCTGGTGGTTCACTACATTCCCGTCATCAGAAGTCACTTCGAGACCAAACTGCAGCCCAAACAGTTCAGCGTCCTCAGACACTTTGACCACATCACCAAGGTAGAAACGCGCGCGTACGCACATCTACCTGAAGCAAAATGAAAATAGTTTACTTTATACCCCGTTGGGTGGTTTAATCTACGTCAATGCTGCCATCATCACGCGCACCTCTTTTTCAGCTGCTCCAAGAAGCTTTTTAAGGTTTATTCAGCTGGAGACTGAATATAATAAAGGAACATTTCATATTATCAAACATCTGGATATGCGAGATGAGAAACGTAACTTAAGTAATTGCACAAACGTTTGTGATTTTAAAAACTACAATATTTACTTCTAAGTTGCAGTGGAGCAAAAGTACAAAGTTTCCTCCAGTTAAAACGTAAGAGCCCGATAGTCAGAACGTAGAACTCAAGCGTTTCTCTTCCCTGCGTTGATCGATTTGATGGATTGTTGCCTTGCAGGACTACAACGACCACGTGGCCGAGATCTCTGCCAAGCTGGTGGCCATCATGGACAGTCTGTTCGAGAAGGTTCTGTCAAAGGTGAATTATTTTAATAATAATAAATCATTTTTCTAAAGGATTTATTATTAAGGACGGCGCCACCCAGTGTACAGAATAAAGTAAAGACATTTGGCTTTCACTTCATCTAGTGACGCTTTATTTTCACACACACACACGTTATTTGTCTTCATAAGAAGAACCTTTGTTGATGCAAAAGAGTTCGCAGGACATTTAAGATCACAAAGACATTTATGTCGTTTCCTCATGAAAAGGTCACAAAAGAAGATTCTCTTTTAATATTTCATTTACTGGTTAATGTTGAACTAAAACGTGTTCATCTTCCGCTCGCTCGCACTCCTCCATCGAGGGAAAAGCTTCAGCTCGCCGCCGGGCTGCTGGTTTGATTCCCGGCGGCTGATGGTTGTTGTTGTTGTTGTTGTGTGTCCTCAGTACGAGGTCAAGGCCCCGATGCCCTCGGCCTGCTTCAGAAACGTCTGTAAACAGATGGCCAAGATGCACGAGGCCATTTCTGACCTTCTGCCCGAGGAGCAGACGCAGGTGAGGCTCCGCTCTCTGACCAGGTTCGATGTGGTCGCTCGGCGCGTGAGCGGCGCGCTCACGCAGATGTGCGTATCTCCGCACAGATGTTGTTCCTGAGGATCAACGGCAGTTTCAAGACGCACCTGAAGAGGCAGCTGGCTCGCCTCGGGGTCGTTAACGACGGGGGACCTCAGCACGGGGTACACGCCCTCCCGACATGACGAGCCGTGCAGAAGACGGTGATAAGTCGGTATTTAACCCCCTCCCTTGTCCCCTCCCCCCCCTCCAGGCTGGTCGGGGTGGACGTGGCGTTCTACACGGAGAACGTCCAGGTGCTGAAGAGCCTCGACCGGCTCGACCTCAACATGGCGGAGATCTGGGAGCAGAAGAGGTGATGGAGGACGCCGACGGGACGGCCAGGACTCACAGACGCCTCGGCCCCCGGGGGGGTTCAGAGGGACCAAAAACCCCGAAGCGGGTGAAGCAAAGCAGCGTCACGCTGGAGGGGGGAGGGGCTTCCTCCACAGCGCCACCTTAATAAGACTTGAGTGGAGATATCAGCGACTCGGTGGGAGTTTAAGAAGTGTAATTTATTTTTCTCTCTTGAGAAACATTTGATTCTGTGGGCAACTTTTCCTCCAGAGGTTTCAGCCGGGGGGGGTTGCATCATCCACGCACACTGAAGCAAAGGATTCTGGGTGTAACAGCGTTTCCTTCCTGCGTCTGGCCGAATCACCGGCTCCCTTTGTGGTTTTGTTTCGCTGCGGTTCGTTGGATTCTTAAGTCAGGGGTATTTTTTTGGGGACGTGGTGCGTTCGGAGTCCCGGACGTCTCGACGGTTCGAGACCTGGAGACAAACAAACGTGTGATCCGAGAGCTAAGTCCCGCCCCTCCTCCCCCCCAAAACCTTAATCAAACATCCAGAGCCCCCCGCTGCATCCTGTCCCTACCAAAGTAAAACACTTTCCAAATGGGGACATAAACTCTTCTATGACACTATTGTTTCCTGTCCAATTATGCATTAAGTTTTCTTCCGACGCGGAGACACTTTTTATACGCGCGCTCGCCGATGAGTTTGACTGCAGAAGATGAAGCATGAAAATCAGCTGTTCTCCCTCCTTTTAATCTGCATGAAGAACGCAAACTTTTAGTTTCCTCTGAAGCTGAAACCACTTGAGACGGAACAGAAAATCTGTTTTAAAAGCTGCTCGTCGGAACTCTGACAGGAAGTCGCGGTGCCTTCAGGCGCAGTCGTCCACACAACACTCTGCTGTTAAAAACTGTAATTAAATCTGGTGCTGAAACCTGCGGCCCGCCCGGTTCCGGTCGGCGGCGCGCTGGTGAGGATTTGGAGCGCTCCCCTTCCCCCCCCTCGGCTCGCACCGGTTCTCAGATCAATCAGCCGCCGCTAAAGAACGAGGTTTAGATTTTCTGTTCCTGTGTGGAGTTCGGTCGGTCTGAGCTGCGACCAAACACACGCGCGCACACATCTGTCCAGCTGTGGTCGCACCACCCCTGTTTGACCCTCCACCCCCCCCCCAAAA